GTCCTGAGAAAAAGTGTCTGTTGCAAAATAATAATTAATAATAAAAATAAATCTGTGGGCATTGGGAGGAGAGGAAGCAAGACCAGTTACCCAGGTTTGCCCTGGGATTCTCTTAAGGCCTCCTCCAGTTTCTGTCTAAACTTGTCGTACTTCTTCTGTACTTGCTGGATTTTGTCCTGTTCTTCCTTTTCCAAGATTGTTAGGAAGTTCTGGAGCTCAGGGATGGAGAAGGCATCCCACTGTGAGGGAGATTTGAGGGGAGAAATGGAAGAGGAAACAGATTAGAAGTTGACCCAATCTGAAGGCCTGGCCCTGCCTTCTTCACATGGTTCATACGCTTGGAATGACTCACAGGCACTTAGCTCTAACTAGGCAGACACAGTGAAGGACCCTTGGGTTGTATATGTCTGTTGCACCAGCAGCAGCAGCAGTTCGTATCCTGTCATCTCGTGACCAAGAGTTGGAGGCCCATGGGCCTTGTTTTATTTTGAGAACCAGTAGCAGCTGAGGCCACCACCAAATAGATCCATCAGAAGCAGCCAGAGGCCAGCTGAACTGAGACTCAGGACCCTTGGGTTGAGCCTGTGTGACCTTGAGCCCCTCCACTCCTTTCGGCCTATTTTCTCATCTGCTGTGGGTTTTGGGTACCTACTGCCTGTGATGGTGGAGCAGATGAGAAAGCACACCCTCTAAAGCTCTGGAGGGCCTGGTTGGCTTAGGCCTGCCCAGAAAGGACCTGGTCCCTCAGGATAGAAGGCAATCTGATTTCTAAGCTGACTCAGGAGCAAAGGCCCCATGGGGCCAAGGATGGAGATGCCTGTGGTTTTCTAGCACAAAAGAATATTATAGGCTATCGGTTTTAATCCCCACATTGGATAAAGGAGAAACCTAAAGACCACAGAGGGAAGGTGGCATAACCGCAGTCACGGAGCTGACAGCAGCAGAATGCCAACTAGAAGCCAGGCCTCCAGACTAGCCAGGACCCCTTCACGGGGCCAGCCCTTTACTCCACACTCTCAGTGGAATCTTCTCCAAACCAACTCTTCTGTAGGCTCAAAGCAGATGGAAGCAGAGCTGCTCTGGTTGAAGTGGGGTCAGAGCTCCACGTGCCCAGATGATCCAAATCTCCAGTGCCCTCAAGACCACCCTCACACCCTAGACCTCCACTGAAGAGTGTGATAAACTGGCACCTTCCTCTGCTCTTGATCATTCTTCAAAGATTCTGCCTCCTAAGTATACCAAGCCTTGGAGAGCACCCATATATGGCATCAGACTTGACACTGGTTAACCGACCCCTTAGGAGAAGGAAGTCAGTATTTTAAAAACAGAAGAGAGACAAATGGCTCAAAAATGTCTATACCCAGTAGAACTTAGTGGTATAACTTGCTGGGCCTCATGCTATCCTGGGACAAAAAGCCTGGTCCTCCACCCTGAGTTTCAGAGACAAAACACACAAAATCCTTTCTCTGCACAGGCCTTGCCAGACACAGGCCCTGACTTGCTATTGCTACTCATGGGGGCTGACAATCCTGGCTTCAACACTGAGCCTCAGGCCCAATGCTCACCCCAGCTCAGCTCCCCCAGAAATCATCTATCTTCCTGCTGCTGCCACCTGGCCCCCACCTACTCTGGGTGGTTAGAACAATGCCCGCCTTCACCCTCCCAGCGTGCCCTGCGAGCTGGGTGTGTGCAAGGGCTGCAGACCTACCTCCACCTCTCCAGTTTCATTCTCCTTTAGCACAAAGCTGAGGACATCTGTGTCGGGCCCAGCAAGGAGACGCAAGTAGAGAGGGCAGTCAGCAACAGAGAGTTTCTGGAAGAGCACTGTAAACCAAGAGAGGGAGTTGGGTGCTCATGTTGAAATAGGACAGGGTGGGATTGGATTGGAAATGCAGAGCAAGGTCTTATAATTGGAAAAAGACATAGGGTCTTTTCAACCTAGTGAAATGAACTTGAATCTGACAAGAATAGTCAGGGTGAGATGGCAGTGTGGCTCAGCAGTAGAGCACTTGCCCTGGATTCCTGCCCAATACAAAAAAAAAAAAAAAAACCCAGAGCAATGACCTTTTATCTTGGGTGTTTGCTTAGAGTTTACAGCATGTTTCCATATTCACATCATCTCCCAAAAGGTTAGGAGTGGTGGGTGGATTCCCTCCCATTACACAGATTAGGAAATGGGAGCCTGGGTGTGGTTTTCCTGCACATGCACAGAGAGGGGCACAGTGAATGGCCATGATCTGCTCTCATCTCCCTACCCAGATCCCATGAGTGGCTCTTCCATGGATCTGAACACCACATGGATGGTTGGACCCCTGATGTAAAGAACCCCACCTCCACCCCACCAGGGCTGGTCAGAGATTTACGGAGTGGACTTGAACAAAGTGGGGAAAGGTAATTTCTGGTTGGCAATGATTCATATTCATTCTCTCTCTCTCCCTCTCTCTCATACCTTGACCATCCTTGTGTATCCGCTTAAAAAGTGCAAACTTCTGGGGATTGTCCACAACCATAAACTTCTTGAGCAGCCCCTGGATGACCTCACTGACTGTGGTGGTGCTACTGATGTGCAGCTGTTTGATGGCATCCAATGGCAGGTAGAAAGATGTCCGCTTGTCTGTGGTGGCTGCCAGGTTCACTTCCTTGATGGCATCATAGATGGACTGAGGCCGGATCCCAGCAGGCACTGTCACAGGACGCCGAAGTTTCAAATGCACTTTGATGAAACCCGTGTAGGTGCCATCTTCGCTCTGCAAGTGGGAGGACATTGTGTGGGTTCACGGAGGTCCATTTTGCATGATTGTGTCTGCCACTCTGGACTATTTCCCTGGAGGCTACAGAGGTCCTAACAGCAGGGCCACCCCAGTCAGCTCACCACTTGTCTTCCAGGGTTGCCTCCTATCCCTGCTGAACTAGAGATGCTGGAGTGACACAGACACCTTCCACCCCCAGTGGGTCAGAAATAGGCCCATAGAGTTGAGCTGCCAGACAGGATTTGCGGGGCTGCAGCAGTTTCGCCCCACAAGAGGTTCAGGCTGACTGCCCCAAACCTCCTGTCACCAGGTCAATTGCCCTTGGTGAGTCCTTACTCTAAAAGCAAGGTCTATAGTGACCTCTCTAGTTCTCACCTCTGAACCAAGAGGGAGAGGGAGGGCTCTGTAATAAGGTCCTCAGACACTCAAGCCACTGAATTTCTTTGCATTTCTTTATAAAAAACCCTCAGTTTTTAAGACTAAAACCAGGGCTCATTGAATTTTCACTGCCTCTCCCCAAAGACAGTTGTTTCCAACCACCAGCAGGGGGCAGGGTTCATCTACTGTCTCCTCTCCCTCTGGAAGACTGCTTTTCTGAACCCTGTGTCAAGTCAGCAGCCCTCACCTCTCTGAGCACTGCACAGTCTAAGGGATAAGAAGAGGAGCTGTGAACTCTCCTGGTCAAGGGCTTCCTGGGGGCCAAGCAATTTGGGCCTCTGGTCACTGCTTATCATTTAACCCTCACAAGACTTCTGACACATAGGCATTAATGTCTATTTAACATCGAGGTTCAGAAAGTTCCCAAAGCCACAAGCACAGAGAAGCAAACAGGGATTGGATCTGGATCCTATTCTAAAGACTGTTGTTTCCCTAGAGCTCATGGAAGCCACTGGCAGCCCAGGCTACCGGCCATCCAGGGTCCAGGCTTCCGGAGGCCCCGAGAAGTTCCAAGAAAGGGGAGGGAATTACAAGGGAGTAGCCACAGCATCCAGTGGGGAGCAGGAAGCCAAGCTGGATGGGGGCGGGAGGAGAGTGGGTGCAGGTAGAGGGTGTGTGGGGTGCAGGTAGAAGACGTGGGGTGCAGGTAGAGGGCCGTGGCAGGCCCAGCTCACCAGCTTCATGCCCAGGCAGTTCTTCTCCCGGCTGTTGTAGCTGTCGATCTTCTGCTTGATCTCCTGCAGCGTGGGTGGGCGGCGCGTCTCTTCCACGGACTTACAGACATTCTGGAGCAGATAGAAGTGGGGGTGGTGTACAGTGCTTCTCAGGAGAAGGGGAAAGACCACACCCGCCAAAGGCCTCTTAGGCCTAGAAGAGGTGAGCAGCGCCCCCTCACTGTGGAATGAATTCATGGTCCCAGAGTGAGAACAGGAGGCCAGCCACCTGGTGGGGGCGCAGGGGAGCAACTCAAATCTCTCTAAGCCTCAGTGTCCTCACAGGTAAAATGGGAATAGTACCTCCTCCTCAGGCTGGTTACGAGACAAACAGGGACTGACTAGGAACTGGTGAAAGAGCAGGGCCACATTTGCTTACAGAGGGTTGCTATGGAGAAGCTGCTAATGCTAAGGAGATGCAAAGGAATGCCAGCCATGGTCTGTCTCCTTGAGGAAGCAGCAGTAAAGCTGGAAAGACAGGTGTGTACAAGTGGTGCCAGCAAAAGCTGATGGGAATGACCCAAATTCTAGGCCCAGAGGACGAGGGCACATGGACACAAGTTCAGGCTTCACATACTGGCCACAGTGCTTTCCTGGCACACAGCAAGAAGAGAATCTACGTAATTGTCAAGGAAATAAGTGAACTGGTAGAGACAGGGGCTGTAGCTCTCTATGATAATCGGGGAGATAATCTCAACTAGGGGCAAAAGGATAACCAACATCTACTGAGCACCTCTTCTGTGCCAAGTACTTAGCATACACTATCTCATTTAATTCCTCACAAGCCCAAATTCTTCGAGATGGTTTATTACCCCCATTTTACAGGTGAGACCGAGAGGCCTTTACCAACTTGCGTAATGCCCGATAGTAAGAATGTGAAGAACTGACCAGAAATTCCTGGTCTGGCCTGTTGTGTTCCTCCTTTGACATCAAGACTCTTTCTCCATATATTCCCTTGTTGTGCACCCCACCCCACCCCATACTCTCCAGGAAGGGGAAAGGATGAATGAAGTTAGGAGGTAGAGGTCAATGTCCTTACATTGGAGAGGGAGTTCAGGGGTGGTTTCTGGGATCTAAGTTATTGCATCCCTCAGTCAATTCTCTGAATTTCTCTCAAGATCATGGTCACTCACTTCCCAGTTTTGTCTTCACGTTGCCCTGTGTGGCTGGGAGTGCAGGATCTGGTTGGTTAAAAGCCACCCAGAATTTGCCTGACCTTAGATGTCAAAAGATCATGATTCATCTTTGAATGAGGGAACTGGGGTCCAAAGAGGGATGATTCTGACACCTGCCTGTGGGAGTCTGGGTTTGGTGGGAAGTTTACAATTGCCCTGATATCACACCACCACCCAGTGGAGCACAATGGGGCATCTAACGCAAAGCATGCCCCTGACCTTCCCCCAAGCCTGTCTGTGGGAAATGTGCCATCACTTCCTCCTCCCACTTTCCAATACCACAGAACAAATAAAATGTCAGACTCCACAGTTGCCAAGAGAAGCCGCCAAGGTCAGCTAACATCTTCTGGTCACAGCACCTCTCCCATGTGCCCACTCAGGTCTCTGGAACTGAACCTGTTGGCCACCCAAGAGGAAGCCTTCGCAGGGCCGTTTCCTGTTTGCCTGAAGTGAGTAAAAACGCTTTGTGAGCCTCACATGCTCTCATTCATTGTCAATCCATTAATCTAGGAGTTCTCAAAATGGAGCTTCTCATGTGTCTTAGCTCCTGGAGTAACCGCCTTCACTGTGCACACCTCCATGAACCAGACATGCCGGGCTGCCTTCCTTCTGGGAGCTTCCAGTCAGAAGGATCAGCCATCTGGCTACCATTGTAGTCTTATCTCTGAGACACACACACACACACACAGTCTGTTTCTCCTCAGGAGTTAAGAACTTTCTCATACTCATCTTCAAAGGAGAGTTAAGTGATAGAAGGCAAATTCTAGAAGCGACTAGAAGATTTCTCAGTTCCCTGTAAGAAAAGGCAGCTGCACCGCGGCTTTCCAAGGCCAGTCTTCCAGGCCTGGTTAGGAATACAGTGAGAGTCAGAGCTGCCTTGGCCTACGATTTCTACTTCCTGTTCCCCCTTTCTTCATCAGATAAACCCATCTATTCTCTCCCTTTCCCACCAGAAACCTGTGACGCAAGTGGCCCCAGGCACCTCCGCCTTCCAAGGCAGGCACAGAAGATAGCAGCCCTGACCTCACTATTCTAAGTCTGGGGGAGGGTGAGCTCCATCTGTGAGTGCCAGGAGCCCTGCGTGTGGCCAACACTAAGAATCTCACACCCGGGGAAAGTCAGTGCCCAGTGTGGGATGGCTGTTGCCCACACTGAGTCTGCCAGATGAGATCTGAGCCACAGACTGGATGAATCACCTCCCAAAGTAGGCCAGCCAGTGGGCCAGCCAGCCCGAACCAAGGACTCTCTAATCCTCCTCCCACCCTAGGATGGTGTAGAATCTAGACTAGTGGTTCTTAAACTTGCCTGCACAATGGAGTCATCTGGGGATCTTTAGAAACACAGATACCTGGCCTACATCCCCAGAGATTTATGATTTAATTGGTCTGGGATGTATCTGGGCATAGAGATTAAAAAACAAACAAACAAACAAAACTCCCAGGTGATTCCAATTCACTGTGGCATTTGAGAACTACAAAAGACCCTTCCCCATCATTCCCAATCCAGCTGCAAAGTTCACACATTGGTGCCAGTAGATGCACACTGCCCAAAAGGGCAGTATCCACTGTGTGAACAAGATCAAGAATATAGTCATCTTCCAAGGGGAAGGCAAAATCCCAACTTCTGTTCACCTGCCAGATTCTCAAGTGAAACATTTGTCTCTGTTCATGGGCACAAAGCTAGAAATCAAGAAGACAGCATTTGTCTCCTGGGGTGGCCCAAGATAGAGATGGAATAGGGAACTCTGTTATGATTTCACAAATATAGGCATTGGCCTGTGTCTCTCCTGGGAGTTCATACGTCTTGGTGCATCTGGCATAGAATTCATCTGCTCTGATTAAGCCCCTGGCATTGGTGGCAGATGGCTGAACTGTTGCCAGCTCACCGGCTCGTCCAGGGCACTGGTGAAAAAATTGGTTTATCTTACATGTCTAAAGCATGAAATATCTGTCACCTTTCTTAGTTCTCGAGTCTATTGGGAGTGAAAAGATTGAGTGCTAGCCATAAAAGCAGAGATGTTTCCCCCAAAGAGTGAGTCTCTAATGTTTCTAATAAAATATCCTTAACAAAATAAGGAGGGCCATCCCCTGTATCTGGGGCCTATTTCAGAGCAGATTTACCCTAAGTCAAGTTTTCCTTTGTTTTACCTTTAAGACGACAGTAACGATAAAACATTGGATGATTCTGCATTCTAATCAATGACAAGGAAGTCTTAATTTTGGTGGTAGGGAGTAATCCAATGCTCTAAGAAGGAGAGCTCTGAGTAAGTCCTGTGGCTTCTAGAATCCCCAGGAGGGCATAGGGCAATCCATCAGAACTCCAGAACGGGTCCCCCAAGGTGAAGATGGGCAGGAAGACCAGGCGTCCCACCCTCAGTGCCAGAACCCTCATGCACATCCATGCTCATAAATCACACAAACCTCATTTCTGCAAAAAATTTTACTCTTTTTAAAGGTGTGTCAGCCTCTTCTCCTTCCTGCCTAATACCTTTAGCCCATCACTTCTACCTGCCCACCTGCCCTCCCTTCATCTGGCAAGGCCTCTCTGACCACTCCAGCCCTGAATGATGGTCTCTCACTAGTGCTTAGGTAAGTGCCATGCGCTTTTCTTCTCAGCATGTATTCGCTCATTTCATCTCCACAGCAAATTTATGAGGAAGGTGACATTATTGTGCCCATTTTACAGTCAAGGGAACTGAGCCACATTAAAATGCAAGCAGACCTACATCTAAGGCTAACACCATGCCATCTGGTGCTTACTTAGTTTACCCTGCAACTACTTATTTTACCCTGCCACGGGACCACAAGTGTTGGGTTTTCTTTGCAATTAGACCAAAGCTCCATACTTTTTCTGTTTCTTCTCTGGGCCCAATAGCACTTAGCATGAATCAGATCATAAACACTTGCTCAAGAATCTTCAACTGGTCCCCAGTTACCTATAGTGGAAAGAAACGTCTTAGTCTCTCCTAGGAATTACAGCGAGACTTGGATTTCAATTTAGTCTGAGTTCTGTGACAGCAGCAGCCATACCTGTCTTGTCCACTACAGCATCCCAGAGCCTAGTTCCAACTTAGTACATAGCAGGGCTCAGTAAATACCCACAGGATGAACACAAATGGGTGTTTGACTTCTCACTCCCAGTATACTAATTATATGACCTTGAGAAAGTGAGATAACCTCTAAGGCTTAGTTTCTTCATCTATAGGTTCAGGATAAAAATCCTTTATTGCCTCATAGATTTGATGTAAAGGTAAAACCAATCAAGATAATGGGTATGGAGGTGTTCTGGAAATTATCAAACTCATCCAAAAGCATCTTGTTACTCTCATCCCAGGAAAACCAAGCCCTGAGCCAGTTTCATTTCTCACTTTCCTTCAGCACTTACTCTAGACTGGCCCAAGTACCCAGAGTCCCTGCATTCCTTCCTCTGCACAGACACTTGGCAGACTTGCTGTAAAGGGCCAGACAGTCTATTGCAACTACTCGCCTCTACCACTGTGGCACCAAAGCAACCGTAGGACGAGGGTGGCTGTGTTCCAATAAAACCCGATTTATGGAAACTGGCCCATGAGCAGTAATTTGCTCCACACTGTTATTTGTGCAGTTTTTCCTGCCTAGAATACACACTCCCCATTTTCCCTAGATGCTTCTTCTCCATGCGGTTTCCCAGTGAAACTTCTCCAGCCCACAGCAATCTCCCTATCCTCTGCTTTCCTGCTATATCACATCAGTGACATTTTGTTTCCTAAATGAGGAAGCCATATTCAGTTTTATGCTGGTCCCTTTCTTTCTCCTGAATCACTTTCTATGTTTCCTGTATATTTCCTCCCTCCACCAGTCCACAGGCCTCTGTAACTTCACTCTCACTGATGGACAGTCTACACAGGCAAAGGCTTGATCACGGACAGGAGTTATTCTCCTCTCCTCTCCACTGGAGAGCCACACAGCTGGCAGGTGGGCAGCTAGGCTCACTCACAGGCTAGAGCACTCACTCTCCAACACCAGCCATGGCCCAATGCCTCAGACTCCTCTTGCAGCAAAGCTGCATACTACCACATGGCACAGATGTCAGCAGCTGATTTCCAATGTTGAATCCAGACTGCAAGGACCTATGGAGGTGCTTTCAGAGTTCTAATTATATGCTGCCTTTTATTGCTTATAGATGGTTTCATATATGTTAATCCCAGAGACCCAATTAGTTGTTCCCAGAGGAAGACAGACTTCATGTCTGAGGCTTCAACTTCTTGAGCACCCCTGCGGGGACCAGCTAAACACTGATTGACTTCCAAGGGAGTGCCAGATAAATACCCAATAACTGGGCAGCAGGGAAGGGTGGAGCAGCTTGAGTGGTTCCCAGCCCATAGATGTGGACACTGGACAGCCAGGTGCTGACCTCCACCCCAAGGGGCGATGCCCCTTCAGGCAGGCTGCACGGGGCTTCAGGTTCCGCTGAAAGCCAGCCCTGTGGCCCACTCCTTTGCAGCTAGCTGGTGAGAACAAATGCAAGACCATCAAATGACCTGTGACCTATGGCAGGTCACTTCCCATCCTGGGATCTGAGTTTTCTCATCTGTGAAATCATGAAGTGATACCAAAGAGACGCAAAGGCTCCACTGCAAGAACAAGATTGGACACATAAGATAGGTCGGGGTTTTTTCGTCACTGCTTCCTCTTCCCTTTCAGAGAACTGGGTGTGGGGCTGGGGGCCCCACAGGAGAGCAGGGCACGTCTGAATTGCAGCAGACTCATGCCTAAGGGAGCAGGAAGAACGTTTCTGACCTCTACCACTTCACTCTTCTCACCCCTCACCACCTGTTTTCTCTTCATCTTCAGGACTCCATCTTACTTAGCCAAGCTCAAGAAGGGCCGCATCTTCTTACCTCATTTAACTCAAGAAAACAAACAAAAGTACCCCGGAAGCCATTCACCAGGAGCCTTTGCCACATTTCCTCTTTCTCAGCTCTTAGCAAATCTGTCAGCAGCAATTCTCTCACCCCTTGGGTAGAAGTATTCAGGCCTAAGTCAGGGAGGAGAGCCTCAGAAAGGTCCTACATAAGAGAGACCATGTGCAGAGCCTTCCAGATATGAACACCAGGGTTCCTATTAGGCCTGTCCTAAATGAGAACCTCAGAAGGCAAGGGCAGATTCTCACTGGTCAGGCCCCTGCTCAATGTCTAAGCCACAGACGAGGGTTATTGGGTCTCCTTGGGATGATCTCAACCAGCTAGGAAAGAGGAAGCCCTATGAAACCTCACTGCAGGGGGCCCTCTCAGGTCCTAAAGAGTCTGTGTTCTGGGATGGAATCCCCAGTCCCATCCATGGCAGTGAAAGGGTTCATTCCCACAGGTCCCTCTCTGAACTGTCCAATGTCCCTAAAATAAAAGGGTTGGAAACTCCTAATCTGTATTCTCCAATAGGATATTTGCAGCAGAGCAAGGAAGAGGCTCCAGCATAGAGCCATCTCTTTAAGCTCCTATACGGTGTAATGGAGGAATAGGGTAAAATAAGGAGGGGAACTCAGGAACTAGAGAAAGATTGAAGTCCCCAAAGACCCAGATGGAGAGCAGATGGTCAATGCAGACAGTTAACAGTAACTGACTGAATTGCCTATGGGTTGAGGACTATGAAAGGCATCTTGGGAGATGAAACAGACAGGTATGGTCCCCTTCTTTGGAAGCCCACATGTCATCTGAGGAGGGAAGACAGAGATACCGTGACATATCAGAACAAGAACAGCACAATCTGGGACAACAAGCCTCAGTGGCTTTCAGGCAGTCTAGATCAACTTCACGTGATGAAGGTCATCCTGGTGGACTCTCCATGTGCCAGCATGTCCCAGAGCCTGGCACAGTGTCTCCCACTCATCAAAATGGCCACCTCATGTGTATGTAGGAGTGGCCCATCAGGATCAGGGGTCAGTAGCACCATGAAGAAGGCCTAGAGAACCGTGTGGCCTTGTGCTACGGGGACCTAGCTTCAAGCCCTGCGGTGTCTCACTGTAATAATAAAAGTCACTGCCCTGAGGACTTCACAGTCACAATCTCATTGGATGCCCTAAATAACTCAACGAGGGAGCTACTGTCATACCCAGTCCCTACTCTTCATCTATTCCACACTGCCCTCAGGTGGGTCCCCAGGCTGGCCTTTCTAGCCATGCCCCTGTTCTGTGAATTTGAGCAAATTGATCTCAAAGACAGGTTTCTTTGTACCAGGGCCACATGATGATTTTCATGAGTCCTAACTACTTTCATCTTTAGGGCCATGGCCCCTTCCTCCACAAAAACTACTAAAAATTGCTGGGCACAGTGGCACACACCTGTAATCCCAGTGGCTTGGGAGGCTGAGGCAGGAGGATCACAGGTTTGAAGCCAGCCTCAGCAACTTAATGAGAAACTGTTTTAAAATAAAAATTTTTTAAAAGAGCCTAGGGATGGGGCTCAGTGGTTAAGCACTCTTGGATTCAATCCCCAGTAGACCCCTCAAAAAAAAAAAACTTCTACTGAAAGTTATATTTTATAATTGCATCAATATTAAGACCTATTAATAGCTTATATTAAAACAGTCTAGGCCACATAGTGAGGCTATGTCTCTAAGTAAATAAATAGAATTTCATTGCAGATTATTTATCTGATAAAGGATTGATATCTGAATATATGAAGAATTCTGGCAACTCAACAACAACAACAAAATGACTAATATGATTAAAAATGGACAAAGGACCTGAATAGTCATTTCCACAGAGAAGATATGTAAAAGGCCAAAAATACATGAAAACATGTTCAATGCCACTAACTGTTAAAGAAATGCAAATCAAAATCATAATAAGATCTGACCACTTCAAACCCATCAGGATGGCTATTATAAAACATTGGGTGTGCAGAAACTGGAACCTGTGTATTGTTGGTAGGAATGGAAAAATAGTGCAGCCATGTGGGAAATGGTACGGCGATTCCTCAAAAAATTAAACAGAATTACCACACGATGCAGCAAATCCATTTCTGGGCATATGTTCAAAAGACAGGGAAGCAAAGACTCAACCAGATACTTGAACACCAGTGTTGATAGCAGCACTACTCCTAATAGCCAAAGGGTGAGAGCAATCTGTGTCCATTGGTGGATGAATGGATAAATGAAATGTAATATACATATAATGGAATATTACTCAGCAAAAAGGAAGGAAATTATGACATATGCTATAATCCCGGAAGAATCTTGCAAACACTATGCTCAATCAAATAAGCATTCCCCAGAAGGACAAACACCGTGAGTCTACTTATTTGGGGTTCCTACAGTAGTCAAATTGATAGAGACAGAAAGTAGAATGTGGTTGCCGGAGCCTGGGCCAGGGGAGAGTAAGGAGTTATTATTTAGTAGGTAAGGAGTTTCAGTTTGAGAAGATAAAATGTTCTGGAGCTGGGGCTTGGGGCTCTGGTAGAGCATGTACTTAGCATGCAAGAGACCAGGTTTAAATCCCTAGCACACGTGCTCAAACCCCTCCCCCCCACAAAAGGTTATGGAGAAAAATGAAGATTGTGGTGATAGTTACACAATATGTGAACATCGTACTTACGGACACAGAATTACATCCTTGCCAGGCACAGTGACGCTCGTCTGTAAACCCAGTGACTCAGGAGGCTAAGGCAGCAGATTATGAGTTCAAAACCAGCCTCAGCAACTCAGTGAGGCTCTAAGACACTCAGTGAGACCCTGTCTCTAAATAAAACACAAAAAAGGACTGGGGATGGGGCTCAATGGTTGAATGCCCCTGAGTTCAATCCCTGGTATCAAAACAAAATAAAAGAACTGCATCCTTAACTCATTTTTTGGTCCCCTCTTACCACATGTGGAACCTATAAAAACTTAAATTAAGCAACAAATACACTATTTATGGTAACTTTGAAATAATATTGGAACATTGATTATGTTCACAAAATTGAAAACTTGGGACTTGATGGATTGAAAATAATTTAAATGGGGGCTGGGGATTTAGCTCAGTGGCAGAGCACTTGCCTAAGACATGCAAAGCCCAGAGTTCGGTCCTTGACCCTTAAAAAAAAATGGTAGTGGGTAAAAATAATTAAAGTAGTAAATTTTCTGATATGTGTATTTTAACATAATTGTTTTTAAAAGACTGCTGTGGGAACTGCTAGAGTATTTGTCAAGCATACATGAGGCTCTAGATTTGATCTCCAGCACCACTAAACACACACATACATACATAAACAAACATAAATTAAAGGAGGATTCCAAGGGCAGGGAGACCTGGAGGTCATGTGACTGGCTTGTTTTATTTGGATCCTATAATTAGGACTTCCCTTTTTATATTTCAAGCAAGTGAGGACCAAGCTCACTTCTAGGCAAGTTGGGCCCCCATCCTAAGCCTCCAGGTCCAGTCTCTTTCCCTGGGACTAGGCCACTCAGCTAGAGGCAGGATGGGACATTCGACTCCATAAAGGATTCAGACAGTTCAGAGGTGGTGAGTGGCGTGTGGAAGCAGAGGGACTCTGATGGCGAGCCAGTCCCCAGCACCCAGCTCACCCACACTTGCTAGGAGGAGAGGCAGCTTAGGCTTTGCACCAGCACCAGGACACCACCTGCACGGCCCTGCTGGAGGAGGCTGGTCCTTGCCAGCTCCCCTCTACCTGGAGCCCACAGCTGCCTTTACTTTGGGACAGGTGGCACCTGGGACTGCAGTCTCTGGCAGCCTACACCTGCCCTCTCTGCTCAGGGCTGTCACTCCTTCTCATGCTGGCCCTTCTGCACCCAGGTGCTCACAGATCAATCTGTGATGCTGAAACACGGCCTAGTTAGTTATTGAGTGGCTTTTCATGTGTGTTCTCTCATTATATCACAATGGCCTAGGGGCAAGGACTTTTGATTTCCTCTATGCTCCAAATGGCCCAGAAAAGTACACTATCCTCAGTGACTCCAGGATGTGTACTGCTGACATGGTGTTGCATTTGGGGACACAACTGGTTTCACTGCTTGGATTTCAACTACTAGAAGAATTCTGGAGAGAGCTAGAGAAGCAGTATGCTTGGTGGTTAGAAGCACCGGCACTGGACTACAGTGTGACCTTAACATGTTACTTGACCCCCTTCTGTGTGTCAGTTTCCTCAATGTTAAATGCAAACAAAAATGGTGCTTCCCTCATATCGTGCTGTGAGGCTTCAAATGAAGATACTCATGGAAAGCACCCAGGACAGTGCTGACTTGTATCAAGGCCCCATTCATGTCCATGACTCTGTTCTTTGAACAGTCTTATCCCTCCACACATCACAATCATGTATCCCACCACCTACATCAAAATTTAACACCCATCAGCATTTCTAAAAATGGCCTTTGTTATCACAAACCCCAGAGCTCCACAGGTTTTCATGGTCCAGTGCTGGGCCCCCGCTTATCACTTCCTCTCCATGGAGGAGCAAGTCGTCCCATTTTACAAAAGGAGAAAGTGAGCCCCGGAGCAGCGAGCATGCTTCCTGAGGTCTCACAGAGTGAAGGCTTGAGAGTGGGCTCCCAGGCCCACTGACAGGGTCATATGAGATCCTGGGACCTCAGGGCAGCCAGCCCCTGCCTGTACCCGGGCACTAAGAGGGTGCTCAAACTACTGGAGTTGCCAAACTAGTATCTTTCACTCACTCAAAAGTAAGTTGGGAAAGAAAAACAAATGAGAGGTTTACTGGTTCCTTCCTCCCCAACCTGCCACTCCCCATGGCTAAAAGGCCAACAAAAGAAACCTGTCATACCAGACTCTCCTGCCTCCTCACATGGGCCCCTCAGCCCCTACCACCCTTGGTGGCCCCACTCAAGGAAGGACCACACCATCTCTTGCCAGCAGGTGCCAGGCCTGGTTGCTTAGTGACCCAGCCCTGCCCGCCCTCATCCTCCAGGGCAAACAGCTGAACAATCATGGATGGGGTGGGGCACGCTAGGTTTGGAAGTTTTCCTTGTATTTTCTGCTCATTCAGTGGGATTTTTCTTTTCAAGGTAACTGGGAAAATCCATTTATTCAGAATCTTAGCAAGTTTCCCTTGAAAATAGTCCTGAGATCAACTTTCACAAACATTGCTGCTAAGTGCTTGTTCATGTGTCCTCTGGAGAGTCCCTGCTGCCTTCCAGAGCTCTTGGTTATGGAGAAAGAAGTCCCAAGCCAGCTCCTCCTTCATCAAACATGCATCAAGAAACTACCATGTGCCAAGGACACAGTGACACGCAAGACATGGCCCCTGGGCCAGAAAATTATAGCCCATCACAGTGAGGGATTAGTGAGGACAGGTCAGGAATCTGGGGAGCACAGAGAAAGGACCATTTGAGCTACAGCTGGAAACACTAGCTCCCGAATTCCTTACATGAACCTGCACATTCCCAGCCACATGTGAGTGTCAACAGTATACATACTATCTATCTCCCTGCCAATCATGGTGTTCCAGCCAATGGAAGGGACGTCTCTCATCTCGGTTCTGTGGCATGGGAAATTCTGCCCCCCACTACCCATAGCAAGGGCAGCACCCTGAAGACCCAGCCTCTGTGTGTCAGTCAATGCTTGCTGAAGACCACTCTTTGCACTGGGGGACAGCCTAGAGGTGAGGAGGAGTGTGAGGGGCCCGTGAACAAGAGGCTGAGGTGATGATATAACAGAGTATACTGACCCGGGTTTCCCAAGTGAAAAATAGGAAAAAAGGGCCTGAATTTCGCCACCAGGAAATTGGCTAAATAAGAACAGTAGCTTTTATGATAAGTCACACTGTTTTGAGAGGGTGATTAGGACTTATCCGGAATCTTCCAAAAACAGGACTCTCACCTAAGAGCCATTTGTGATGGGAAGAGCACGTACTTTGGAGTTAGACAAATAGCGGGTAGGGCAAAGCCTACTGGCTGACCCCCTCCACATACTACCTGTCCAACGTGCCAGCCTCCTGGCATGAGAGCAATAGAAACTCTGCTGGTGCCCGCTGTCAGTCCTAGGCTCTCTGCTGCCCTCCTTTGCCCACACTTAGCAGAGATCCAGCCAGCCTACATCCCATTGTAGAGCTCCCTGGACAAGGAAGGATGGATAACGGGGTTGGAGGAGGATGGGAGTAATGGACAGAGCTTCCCTTCCCCTGCCTGCAATGGCTTATGTGAAAGCTTGCTTGGAAACGGGGGACTGGCTGTAATGATCTCTAACAAACAGCCTCCTCCAGCTCTAGATACTCTGTTTTCAGAGGGTAAGTCAAACCCCTCTACCTCTTCCTGGGCTACTGCAGCTTTGTCACTACCAGCTTTTGCCAGCCTACCTCCAGACCTCTCAAGGGCAATTGTCCCAACCCTCTGATTCCAGGAATCAGCTCCTCAGTTCTCCCTGTCTCAAGAGCTGCCACCATGTTTTGATAAAAGCCACATAGCTGGAAGGCAGATGCCGAGAATGCCTTTCACTTGGATGCCCTTGTTTCCAGGCACCCCCATCGAAATACTTCATGGATGGCAAGGGGAGCACCAAGGGTCTGTTACTCATGTTGCTGGAGGCCATAGGGTCTTTAAGAGTAGAGACCATGTCTTGTCCATCTCTGTATCCCCCACCTGTGGTGCTCAGTGCTGTAAGACAGTTGAAAACACAAGGTATGACTGAGGCCAGGTACTACGAGGTTTGGAACGCTGCACCGAAGAGCAGGAACCAAGTATGGGCTTTCCTCAGGAAGCAAAGGGAGTGTGTGAAGACTTTGGGGTACCACAAGCAGTTGTATGCAGGATACTCAAGATGGATGGAAACCAGTTGGGTATCTTATTAGAGCATCTCAGTGAGAGGTGATGAGCACCCAACAGGGCTGGGTGGGGGTCAGGAAGGGGAGCCTGCCATCTGCCACACTGTGGAGATGCAGCCCATGGTGACAGATGGGATGAAGGCCCCTGAGGCTCTGAAGGTAGGGGACTAGGCAGAGGGGCATAAACACAGAGAGAGAGATCATTTATAAGCAAAGGATATGTGTTGGTTCTGGATGTAATGAATATTAGGTATCTGAGGTGCACATGAGTGCACCTCCAAGCACCAGGAAGAGAGATGGGATGGGGAATGAAGCTAGGGAGTGAGAAGCAAAGCACCTCAGACACTTACTTATACCTGTCTCCTTCCTCCCAACTTCAAGTTTAATGCTCCTGATTCTCAGCAAATGTATCTGGTTCTCTTGTCCCCAAAGAATACACCAGGCCAGACCTGGGACCCCAGCCTCTTTTAGGAGTATATTGAGCTATTCAGAGGAAGAAACTGAGGCCTTGGATGAGAATAGGTCTGGATTTACACAGGAAACCATTAAGGTCTTCAAGCTAAGAGCAGAAGGAAGAAGAGAATCCAGGACCCCAGGATGGGTCTGTTGGTGCCTCCCCTTCAAGATCATGGTCTGGGGAGCTGGATCCAGATCCCAACCTGACAGTGTGAAATAAGAGCTGGGATTCAGGGTTTGATACCAGTGTATAATCTTTCTTCCTAAACTTCTAGGGTAGGCAGATGTTGCATGTGCCCAAATCTATCGCTGGAATTGATTTATTAAAGAAAATTCAGCTGAGTCAAGAAAAACAGTCTAAATTTGCGAAAAAAGAGAAGACAGAGGGGGACAACATGGAGGACAGAGCGGGGGAGCCAGACCAAGAGTGTGAATGAGGATGTCTTGGATAAGTCCAGGTGGTCCTGCAGGAGGGAACCCTTGCTAGTCATCCAGGTCCTCTAGCTGACCTCACATAGGGAGAGTCCATATGTTTTAGGACATTTAAAAGTTAATATCTAAGATCCTTCCAAGGTCCACCCCTATACAAAATGGTGATGGAATCTCAAAGAAATTGGCCCACTCATATCATACAGTGTTCCTGCTCAAAAGGATAAAATACCCAAGTCTGAGAGTTGAAATGACTTGGCCACAGCCTCTCAGTTAATGGCCTGAGTGGGGATGAGAAGCCAGGACTTGACTTACAGTTCTTTGTGTGTTCTGTTACATCAGGTGCAGTCAAGCTCTTAAAGGGCTGTCACCCTAATATCCTTGGGATCTCAGCATGTTGTGACGAGTGTAATGAAGAAAGCTCTAAGCAGGCCCAGGGGACTGGAGTCCTCCATTCCCCCTCAACTTAATGTGACTGGGGACAAATCCTTGTACCTCTCTGGGCCTTCATTTCTGGCCTAGGAACCTCTCACAAATCTGTGACAAATGCTCATCTGGCAGCCCAACTGCAGTAATCCATCAATTAGTAAATATTTCCTAAACAGGTGTTGCCAACACTCCAAATATATGGAATCACCTGGGGAGAGTAT